ATTTCGATAAATCTCGCACTTCAAACATATGGTTTCAAACATGTAATGTCTCACTTTCCATTCTTGTTATGAAAATACTATCAATTGACATTATTCTGAACAATATTTAACTACTTACTCGAACATTTGTACGGGTTTCTCTTTATCTTTCCCGTGAATGTTTTGATAGATGTGCGCTGTGCAGTGTCAGTGGTTGTATTCAGCGCGTTATTTATGAGCACGATGTACAATAAATGGTGACTTGCCGGTGATATAAACTCTACACATACCCCACACACCAACACAGACAACACTGCCCTTACACCTTACATGTCAAACATTGGTGATATACACTCTACACATACCCCACACACCAACACAGACAACTCTGCCCTTACACCTTACATGTCAAACATTGGTGATATACACTCTACACATACCCCACACACCAACACAGACAACTCTGCCCTTACACCTTACATGTCAAACATTGGTGATATACACTCTACACATACCCCACACACCAACTCAGACAACTCTGCCCTTACACCTTACATGTCAAACATTGGTGATATACACTCTACACATACCCCACACACCAACATAGACAACTCTGCCCTTACACCTTACATGTCAAACATTGGTGATATACACTCTACACATACCCCACACACCAACTCAGACAACTCTGCCCTTACACCTTACATGTCAAACATTGGTGATATACACTCTACACATACCCCACACACCAACATAGACAACTCTGCCCTTACACCTTACATGTCAAACATTGGTGATATACACTCTACACATACCCCACACACCAACACAGACAACTCTGCCCTTACACCTTACATGTCAAACATTGGTGATATACACTCTACACATACCCCACACACCAACACAGACAACTCTGCCCTTACACCTTACATGTCAAACATTGGTGATATACACTCTACACATACCCCACACACCAACACAGACAACTCTGCCCTTACACCTTACATGTCAAACATTGGTGATATACACTCTACACATACCCCACACACCAACACAGACAACTCTGCCCTTACACCTTACATGTCAAACATTGGTGATATACACTCTACACATACCCCACACACCAACACAGACAACTCTGCCCTTACACCTTACATGTCAAACATTGGTGATATACACTCTACACATACCCCACACACCAACACAGACAACTCTGCCCTTACACCTTACATGTCAAACATTGGTGATATACACTCTACACATACCCCACACACCAACACAGACAACTCTGCCCTTACACCTTACATGTCAAAAATATCGCAATTCAGCTGGATTCAACTGCAAGTGAGCACAAGATTTAAATCAATGTTCTTTTCAAGTGTGTGCTAAATCTATATTTTGTGCTCTAACAACTTAGGATATAGATACTCTACCGGACAATATAGGGGTTTCATGTAAAAACTAAGTCAGGTTTAGAACAAAAATGTATAATCGAATGGAGCCATTAACGAAGTGGGCTGTAAAAAAGTACATTATTTTCTTGCCTTTCAACTCTCTCAAACTGAAGAGGTATTATAAACCATGGGACCTTTACAAGTAACCAGGTGATGAAAAATGTAACAAAAATAAACTTCTGGTAAGTGTGACTGTGAACGAGATGTTGTTTAAAGTGGCAGTAATATGGAATCATAAGATCCTATTATTTTACTGTATAACAATAATTAATTTAGTTTTATACATTTAACATATTTTATAAACCTAATGAGTGTGGAAATAATTCACAAAGTAGTAACTTAAACTCGTCTGGGTGTATTAAATTTACTTTTGTGTAACCTTTCAAATTCTGAACTCTTCATGCTGTACCTGGAACCCTTGTTTACTCTAATTGACTCATATTTATCCAACATTAGCCTTCAAAAGAGCTAATAATTAATCAGTAATTTGTGGCAATTGCTAGTTAAAAGCAACCATTATGCTATTTACTATATCGACTTTAATTTGCTTTCGTCTGTGTTATAATGTAACCCACTTTGTTCTTTTTTATTCACATAATTATTGCAAATAATTAAATTCAAAAATTTTTTGAAACTTTAAAATATTAAAGGCAAACTATTCACAAATAATACAATCAGTGTCCAATTTTTCGGTAAAGTCAACTCAATATGCAAAGCTTGGCCTCCAATTGCTCTTCCTAATATGTATGTTAAACGCATTTTACTATACCGAACTGGCAGGATCGGAGCTGACAGGCGAGAATGACATTTTGACAGATGAACATGTTGTAACCTGTATTGTAATTCCCTTTCACCAGTCGGCCATGTTGGACTTTTATTCGGATTGGATCTCATGCATAGCACTAACGTGAGTGGAATGTATATTGAACACTTGTCTTATAAACTATTTATACTGTGAAATTGTGCCTTACATAATGAGTGGTCAGTGTTATTCTATGAGCACTGACTGAGGAATAAAGAAATTCAATTAAAGAATCAAACACAAAACCGGAATAATTATCAAAATCCTTTTAATTTATTGACATAACAGTGTTGTATTTTATTTTATAAAATTTTAACACTTTATTTTTTTTTATCTCGAGGGAATGGTAGTAACACTGGTCAGGTTAATGGTTGTGTAGTAAAACACTTTTTCAAGCCACAAAAATAATGTTAATCAGCTCTTCCTTTAATTAATAGTGCAGATTCAAAAGTATTCACGTGTTTAAATGTAAACAAATCTTTTCTCCATTAGGATAACATGGGAGCTTTAAAAGCCATTAGTTAGTCAGGGCAGAGCCCTGATAAAATTTCTTTAAATCACTTCTTTTTGCACACCTAGAGGTTGATTGGAACCTCCATGCCATTCCTGTAGCTTTTAAAATATAGACATCAGTGAGTGAGTGTCATTTGACTTTCATAAGAGAAAGTGTTTTGAAAAACTCTTTCAAAACAACACTTTAAGGTTATTTACACTAGAAAAGAAAACATATTTGCAATAGATTTATTCCAAACCCCAGATACATTTGACAGTAAAATGTCCATGTCTTGAGGAGCTACACCCAGCAATCAGTTACTTAATGACGCAATCAATGATGTACAAGTTGGCCGGCTTATCATCCAACATCGGTGAATGTTTGATGACAAGCCAGTCATATGCGTGACCAAATCCAACCTTATCCATTATTGCCAGTCCAAACCTATCAGCTGATTGTACGACTCCTGTCACCGGCTGTTAATTCCAAACAGCTGACATTTGTAATGTAAAGCAATTCTACGCAAAGGATTTGTCAATCTTGAATGCATTGTGTAGATTTCTTTAGAAGTTTTACAAAAATATTTAATAAATTATAATTTTTAAAACTACTTACCTGCCATTACAAAATATTAAAATATTTTGATAATAATGAGGGAATGGATAGAGATTTTCTTTGTCACATACAAAAATTGCTAATCGAAATCTAACACACATTAGAATACGTTACACAACATAGGCTGTATAAAGTTGAAACAGAGGAACATTCAAGAGAGCTCACAAAGCTAGAAAGAATAATTTTCATGAGATATTGTATTACCTGCAGAGAAACTTCTTATTCCATAATAACTTACTTTCTTATTAACTTAGAGTAGAAATTCTCAATGAGGTCAAGGAAGGAGACAAACACAACACTACAAGCAAGGAGACCGTACGCTACTGGAGGCAGGTTTACAGTAGTATAGTAGATATTGATGAAGATTGTGCAGTCTACTTAAACCTGTAGAAATTCAAATTTATTAAATCAACAAACTTATTAGAAATAAAAATTTCATAGTGAAACCCAAAGCATGTTTATACAATGTGCAGAGTTGAAGATTTAAAAGATATAATGCTATAGTTCATTACATACTCTTTGTTTTCATTTTGAAATCACAAATGAGGTTAAAATGTAATTTTAAGTGTGAATTAAATCTATAAAATATTTTACAACTTAATGGAACACATACATACAAGCTTTCCCAGAACACCTGTACAAATATTGATATTCACAATTGCAGTGAAAGTGGTATGCATAAGGTGAACCGAGTAGTATATTTCCCGTCCAAACGTTATTTATGCGCTTTGCTTTGCTCGGGACAGCCCCTTTGATTTGTAGCCCAGCCTGTGACATTTGTGCCGCCCTTAAATTAAGTAATCATCGGTAAACATTCATCATAAACTACCAACGCTCCACACCCTGTAGACTTATGAATCAACTATCAACTGGCGTTTGTGTTTATTATGCTTTATTACCCATGTGGTAAGCCGTATTCATAAATTTTACTTTTCTAAATAACTAGAGATTAGGCCAACCGAAATTTGGTTTATACATGCTAATACAAAGGTGGACTTGAATTACAAATTTTGCGTACTCGTAGGCCTACTATAATTTTAATTCCTAAGTAACTCGTTTCAAAAGGAGTAGTTTGTGTGAAAGTATGAAATATATGTACACATAAGAGATCACCATTTAATAGAATCATCATTACATAGAAGATTACTAAATAAACTTCTTACATATTCAACTTCCGCTCCTTATAACTTTCAACGATTACACGTTGATGTTTTAGCGCCTAAGTATCCATCTATCTGTTTGTATACAATTCTGGTAGGTCAGTTATACATGGAGTAGTATAATCTTACTAGGCAGTATTTAGTTTTAGTTATACAATCATTACTAATGTGCGCGTATGTGCTAAAATTACTAATATTACAAATAATTGTGCCAATATTGTTGTAGTCTCATTAAAAATAATAAAGTGTTATCTAAGTGTGCTTGACAGTAGACATCATCTTAAAATCATTGAAAAACACTTAAGGACACAATTATTAGTAACTGATATTCAACGATGATTGCTGTTTATGAATTACTAATAGTATGTTCTTGTTATCTATTAATTTACCATGTGTCAATAATCATATGTTAACAATGAAGTTTTTCAAACAATATTTACCATCACGTTGAAAAAGTAAACAATTGAAATAGTTTAGATTTGGGGTTATGTATGAGTTAAGTAATTTATGACTAGATTTTTTTGGCCTAAGCAAGAGCATACATAAGAGAAACACTTATTCACCGCCAATAGAAGTTCTGAGGAAAGATGGAAGATAGGACGAACATCCAGGCAGACCAGCGTCAAGACCATCTTGAAACTTTGAGATCAAAAATGGACATGAAAGCGGAAAAAATGGTTCTTGAAAGAAGAATGCAGATAGAACGCATGGAACGTGGACTGGAGCAGCAACTAGAGAATGAAAGGAAGATTACTGCTAATGCCTTAGAGAGACATGAAAGAGAAGGAATACTTGCACGTGAGCTTAGCTTATTAAAACGAGAACATTTGAGGCAGATGAAAATGAGGGAACGTATAACAGCGGCTAGTGAGGAGTTAAAGGCTTTAGATAAGAAACGTCGAGAATCTTTTGTAAATAAGCATCTTATTACACAATTAGCTGAAAAGGAGGCTGTGAGAGCACAAGAAAAGCTAGAGAAACTTAAGATCCAAGAGATAATTGAATCGGAGAAAAGGTGTATGGAGGAAAAGGCGGAAATGAATGTAAGTTTCATCCACGCGGATAAACTAAAGTATAGAGAAGAACTTCTTAAGCAGATAAAGGACGGGAATCAAAACCAACGAGATATGCAAAGAGATAAAATACTAGAAAATGCATTACTAGAACAGACATTGAGGAAGATTCGTGAAGAAGACGAAATTGAAGAAGCTGCACGTTTAGAAAGAGTTTCTAATGTAAAAAGGGAAATTGAAGGATTCCAAAGACAAAGAGAAATGCAGAAACAAAGTGAGAAACTTTCCCGAGAGGCCGAGGTAGCTAAAAGTAAAGCATATACAGAAGAAAAAGAAAAACAAAAGGAACAGATTGTACAAAATTCTAAAGACAGAGAGCTGGAGAAAAGTAAGTTTATCGACCATATATCAGAGTTGAACGCATCCAAACTTTATCAAAGGAAGGAGAGGGAGGATATTCTAGAATTCCTGGTGGAGGAAGAAGCAAGACAGCGAGACATTCAAAAAGACAAAGAGAGAGCATCAAGGGCAGAAAAAGTTAGGATTGACCTTCAAAACTTTTACAAGAAACACATTGAAGAAAAGGAACTCGCTAGTAAATCAAACTTCAAGGAACAAGAACAATACAGAAATCAGCTACTAGCAAACCTAGCTTTGCAGGAACAACTTGAAATGTCATCAGCAGGTAAGAAAGACTTGAAGAAGAAAGAACTCCGTGAATCCCTTTTAAATCAGATGAAAGATAAACATCGGCGACAAATCAGGGAATGGCAACGTCAGTCTGCTCTACTTGACGAACAACTAGAAGAGGAAGACAGATTGAGACGTATGTGTAATTACAAGGATCCTCAAATACTAGATGATTTAGACTAGTTTGAGAAAGAGGTCATAGCTGCCCTATCCTCGCCAGAGGTTGAGGAGATTCCACCTGATGCTGGCGTTGGTTAATAAATTTTGTAAACGTTAAAATGTGTATCTTCTGATTTTGTAGGCAAACAGTACAGTGCAACGCAGTGTATTGAATATACTTACTATCAGCCTTGATTGAGATTCTGCAAATTATTTTTAGACTCTGATTCCTCTATATTTATTTACGTTTGATCTATATTGCCATATTTGTATGTGTTTTGTAATGTTTGTGTCATTTAAAGGAGTCTGTAAACAAAATATGTTCTCCTTACTACTAACTTTGATTAAGCTTATTTCTAAACCACTATTGATTAGTAGTAGCCAGGAAACTAATGTCAACAGGTAAAACAATTTTAATCTTCTCAACTAATCTTCAAAAACCAACAGGCTTACATAGATAAATCGTATAAGTATAATTTTAATTTATTACATGGAAATGTTTAACACACATAAGACGAATCCGATTTTCCTTCCGTGGGATGTTTCAGACAAATAAGCATCTTTATATATTAATTTGAAACTGTTTTTCTGTGTGACAGCTAACTTGAGAGAACGGCTGGGCGTAGAAACTCGGTAGGGGTCTCTAAAGAAAGGTCTTGGTCTGTAGATGAGCCATCAAAAGAGAAACGTGGTAAATTCCCTTGGGGCTCTGCCCCAGTGGCCTTTAAATTCCCATCCCATGTTATTCTTATGGAGGAAAAACGGGGTTTTGTCACAGCTAATTTCAGAGAACGGCTGGGCGTAGAAACTTGGTAGGGGTCTCTAAAGAAAGGTCTTAGTCTGTAGATGAGCCATCAAAAGAGAAACAAGGTAAATTACCTTGGGGCTCTGCCCCAGAGACCTTTAAAGTCCCCTCTTCAGATTTTTTTACATCAGTCACGACCATATGCATACATTTACACTACTTTATAATGAAACAGCTGTTAATATTTAAATTTTGATTTAATAAATTTGTCAAAATGAAGTATTTGCAATGGTTTTTTTCTGATTTTAAAATTGATTTTCTTCTGAATCGTGCCATGTTTTGCAATATAATGTTCTATTACCAAATCAGTGGAAAATCCTAATATCACAGTAACTCTTAAAATTATTTCTTATGTAGTTAAATATCTATTGTATGGGTTGGATTCTGCCTTTTTTACCACTTCTTGGAGATTGCACGTAGACGATATTCTTTGGCGTATTGCACCTGTAGTAGACGATACTTGGTTGGTGTCATTTTTTAAATTACAATGGAAAAAAGTGAGAAATACTGGGCAGTTTTATATTACAAATAAAACTGAATTAACACTGTGCTAAATTTCTTGAGCAATAATTGAAAGAGCCGATTTGCAAACAATGGAAACAGGAAAATCATAGAACACAACCAAGTACAGTAGAAGAAAGAGAAATAAAGTTTTTTTTATATTTATAATCGTTAATATAGACAACCTAATGCGGCTATGAATGGACAAAATTTGTAGAAAACACTAAGAAACAAGGTCAGCTTTTGAAAAAGGATAAGATATATACACAAAATGTTATTTATATATTACTGCTGTGTACATCTTGAGTATTTCCATAATCTTTGAGTCGACTTTTATAAAGTCATCGGAAATTATGACTGTTATTCGTTTTAAAATAACACCGGTAATGCTTCGCAATTGCTCGAATTCGAGCAACAGGTACACTAGTTAAATATTATTTTCAAACGATTATTTTAACATGCAGGCTTATTTAGCTACATAAATCATTTTCGTGGCTTCCAACATTGATTTTGACTAACACCAGATGATCTGTATTTATATTTTATTCCATTGGAGATATAAAACAAGCAGAACCAGAGCGGATTGTAGCCAGTGCAGAGAAGTACCCAGCAATATACAGCCACAGTCTACATCGTTGGTACTGCCTGGGGCAGCAATAAACGGTTACTTACGGATGGTGGCCGCGAACACTGAGGTTCAAACAAGTTTATTTGAACTGTAAAACATCGCTTCTTTGATTTTAAACGCTTCCAAGCCAAAATCAATACATTTACTCTGGTAGGATATTGCAGAAACGTGAAAAGACAGTTCTTTTAACGAAAATGTAATCAATATTTTGCTTTGGAAAGCTATATAGCTGAAAACCATAACGATATCTAGTTCTATATGTTATTATCGTGTCTACCTTTTTACATTTATTCACAATTTTGGCAAGTTGGATATATTTTTTTGGGTCCAAACCCAGGTTTTTTTCTAACGTCGATCTGTTATTATGAAGCATTCATTATTGTTTTATAAACGAATACTTTTGCAATGAGGTTACATTTGATCTTGAAACAGAATCCGAACCCAACCCAGCATGTCAACCATGGAACTATAAAACCTGGATTACCAATGAACGTTCTCCGTAATATGTTGCCTTAAGTAATCATAGCCAAAACATCAATTTCGTAATGCTAGGTTTATTACATTGGGAAACCTTAAATGCTGATCTGCTAACAACCAATTTAAGTCTTCGTCTTACCCTTTTACAATTTTAAAATGTTGTGTGATGGTTAATAAATGGACTGTATTTTAGGTAAGAACAAAATAAAAAATAGACTGAAAAAATAGTTTAGTAGTTGAAACAACTGAGGAATAAACCGCATCAATAATTAAACATCAGCTGTTAAAATGAATATGAACCAATCGAAAGCAAAGAGTTCTAAAATAAAAAGTATGGCTGATTATAAGTACTGAACACAATACAAAATATATTCATATCCATCCTATTTACACACAAACGTTTCACACTTTTTTCGAGGTTTGTAAAGTTGTGTTTTCTTCACCAACAAACTCTGCAGCAGCGAGTCGCCACAACATGTTTTGTACTCAGCGCTTGTCAAGGGATGTAACAAGGGGTTCCTAATACATTAACACAATCACATCAGTTTGTTTGTCCGCCTTTGACAAATCTATTGACAGCCGAGATGAGGTGAATCACGTGATAAATAACGAGTGTGCATCATTATTCCCCCTCATCTATGCTCAAAGGCAGTATTTAGTTTTAGTTTTACAACCATTACTAATGTGCGTATGGGCTAAAATTACTAATGTTACAATAGTACCTACGGTATAGTTAAAAGAGTCATTGACACTATATTGTGGTAATATTGTTGTAGTCTCATTAAAAATAATTAAGTGCTATTCAATACTTTGCATGACAGTGGACATCATCTTAAAATTATTTAAAATCACTTATGGACACAAGTGTTTGTAACTGATACTCTACGATGATGGCAGTTTATGAATAACGAATATTATGTTCTTGTTATCTTTGAATTTACCATGTGTTAATAACCATGTACTAACAATCAAGTTTAAAAAAATATATATTTACGATCACGTGGCAAAAGTAAACAATTGAAATAGTTTAGATTTGGGGTATGTATGAGATAATTAATTAATGACGAAATCATCAAACGTTTTTAGCCTAAGGAAGAGCATACATTAGAGGAACACCTATTCACCGCCAATAGAACTTCTGAGGAAAGATGGAAGATAGGATGAACATCCAGGCAGAACAGCGTCAAGACCATCTTGAAACTTTGAGATCAAATATGGACATGAAAGCGGAAAAAATGGTTCTTGAAAGAGGAACGCAGACGGACCGCACGGACCGGGGACTGGAGGAGCAACTGGAGGATGAAAGAAAGGTTACTGGTAATGCCTTAGAGAGACATGAAAAAGAAGGAAGACTTGCACGTGAACTTAGCCAATTGAAACGAGCTCATAAGAGGAAGCTACGTTTATTAGCGCTTAGTAAGAAGATGGAGGCTTTATTTAAGCTTTCTACTACAAAATTAGCTGAAAAGGAGGATGTGGCAGAACAAGAAAAGCTAGAGAAATTTAAGATCCAAGAGATAATTGAATCGGAGAAAATGTGTATGGAGGAAAAGGCGGATATGAATGTAAGTTTCATCCACGCAGAGAAACTAAAGTATAGAGAAGAACTTCTTAAGCAGATAAAGGAGGGGAATCAAAACCAACGAGATACGCAAAGAGATAAAATACTAGAAAATGCATTACTAGAACAGACATTGAGGAAGATTCGTGATGAAGACGAAATTGAAGAAGCTGCACGTTTAGAAAGAGTTTCTAATGTAAAAAGGGAAACCGAAGGATTCCAAAGACAAAGAGAAATTCAGAAACAAAGTGAGAAACTTTCCACAGAAGCCGCAGAAGCTAAAATCAAAGCATATGCAGACGAAAAAGGAAAACAAAAGGTGACTGTAAAAAAATCTAAAGACAAAGAGCGGGAGGAAAGTAAGTTCGCAGAGTTCACATCCAAACTTATTCATGGAGAGGAGTGGGAGGACCCCCTATATATTCTAGCAGTACAGATGGTGGACGAAAAAAGCTGGCAAGACATTCAAAAATACAAAGACAGAGCATTAATGGAAGAAAAAATAAGGATTTACTATTATTACAGTTGCAGGAAAGACATTGAATTAAAGGTACTCGCTAGTAAATTAAACTTCAAGGAACAAGAAGAATACAGAAATCAGCTACTAGCAAACCTAGCTTTGCAGGAACAACTTGAAATTTCAGCAGCAGGTATGAAAGACTTGAAGAAGAAAGAACTCCATGCAAGCCTTCTAAATCAGATGAAAGATATACATCGGCGACAAACCTCAGCTCTACTTGACGAACAACGAGAAGAGGAAGACAGATTGAGACGTATGTTTAATTACTTTGATCCTCAAACACTATATGATTTTGAACTGTTTGAGAAAGTGGTCATAGCTGCCCTATCCTCGCCTAAGGGTTGAGGACATTCCACCTGATGTTCAGAGGCTGGCGTTGTTGGTTAATACATTTTGTGAACGTTAAAATATTATGTGTCTTCTGATATTGTAGAAAAACAGTAAAGTACAACGCAGTGTGATTAATTATCAGCCTTGATGGAGATTCTGCAAATTATTTAGAGACTCCGATTCCTCTATATTTATTTACGTTTAATCTATATTGTCATATTTGTATGTGATTTGTAATGTTTGTGTTATTTAAAGGAATCTGTTAAAAATATGTTCTCCTTACTACTATCTTGAATTAAGCTTATTTCTAAACCACTATTGATTAGTGGTATCCATGAAACTAATGTTATCAGGTAAACCAATTTTCATTTTCTCAACAAATCCTCAACAACCAACAGGTTCACATAGATGAATCGTATAGGTATACTTTTGATTTATTACATGGAGATGGTAAAAACACATAAAACAAATTCGATTTTCTTTCCGTGACATGTTTAAGACTAATAAACATAAATTTTTTTTAAACGATTATTTCAACATGCCGGCTTATTTAGCTACATAAATCATTTTCGTTGCTTCCAACATTGATTTTAACTAACACCACATGATCTGTATTTATATTTTATTCCATTGGAGATATAAAACAAGCAGAACCAGAGCGGATTGTAGCCAGTGCAGAAGTACCCAGCAATATACAGTCACCGTCTACATCGTTGGTACTGCCAGGGGCAGCAATAAACGGTTACTTACGGATGGTGGCCGCGAATACTGAGGTTCAAACAAGTTTATTTGAACTATAAAACATCGCTTCTTTGATTATAAACGCTTCCAAGCCAAAATCAATACATTTACTTTGGTAGGATATTGCAGAAACCTGAAAAGGCAGTTCTTTTAACGAAAATGCAATCAATATTTTGCTTTGGAAATCTATATATCCGAAAACCAAAACGATATCTAGTTCTATTTGTTATTATCGTGTCTACCATTTTACAATTATTCACAATTTTGGCAAGTTGGATATATTTTTTGGGTCCAAACCCAGGTTTTTTGTTCTAAAACGTCGATCTGTTATTAAGAAGCATTATTGTTTCATAAACGAGTACTTTAACAATGAGGTTACATTTGATCTTGAAACAGAATCCGAACCCAACCCAGCATGTCAATCATGGAACTATAAAAACGTGGATTAACAATGAACGTTCTCCGTGTTACTATGTTATGTTGCCTTAATACGTGCTTAATACATCAATTTCGTAATGCTAGTTTTATTACATTGGGACACCTTAATTGCTGATCTGTCAATAACCAATTTTGGTCTTTTTCTTACACTGTTGCAGTTTTAAAAATATTGTTACACAATTGGTAAAACAATAAACAATACTGTGTGATGATTAATAAATGGACTGTATTTTAGGTAAGAACAAAAGAAAAATTAGTTGAACTGTATTGAAATAAACATTCAAAACTGAGGAATAAACAGTATCGATTAAACATCGGCTGGTAATAAATGAATATGGACATATTGAAAGCAAAGATGTTAAAATAAAAGGTATGGCTGATTTTTAAGTACTGAACACAATACAAAATATATTCATATCCATCCTATTTACACACAAAAACGTTTCACACTTTTTTCGAGGTCTGTAAAGTTGTGTTTTCTTCACCAACAAACTCTGCAGCAGCGAGTCGCCACAACATGTTTTGTACTCAGCGCTTGTCAAGGGGATGTAACAAGGGGTTCCTAATACATTAACACAATCACATCAGTTTGTTTGTCCGCCTTTGACAAATCTATTGACAGCCGAGATGAGGTGAATCACGTGATAAATAACGAGTGAGCATCATTATTCCCCCCCATCTTGAAAAGAGCCGCGGCGCTCTCACCCTTCTGAAAATGTCATCCAGCCAATTTCCAGACGCATTGAACTCCAGCGGAGCGAACATTTTAATAAGCACTCTGCGGTGATTGAATAGGGTGACGGGGTGACGGGGTGACTGGGGTGGGGTGATGTGGGGTGAGGTGATCATTTGTACCATCTCACCTTCACCGCAACCACCTAATGTTAACCGCAAACTGCAACTATCGGGCAGAGTACCTCAGTTCCACTGTTGTGGAGTGGGTTAAGGTTTCATTTCTTTTGGCAGCCATAGTCATCACAGTAATTCTATCAAAATCAAGTAAATCACTACAACAGACAGCACTAGATGTATTAAGCCAAGATAAATTTAAAAGCTATGAAAAACGATGGCAAAATCAGTTTCGAGTGATCAGATGGCTAATGAAGGATGATGAAGGATAAGATTTTAGCAGTGGAATATGTCGATCAGAGATAAATATTCTTTACTTTATAATTTATATTTTTTCCTTTTACAAACTCTATTGAAACATTATTACTGCTTTTGATTTGTATATGATAAAAATAATGCTAAAATGTCAAGGAAAATACTTGTCAAAATCGAGTATTTCTTCTATCCCTAATTATTCAGTAAATAGTTATAAAGTGAGTGACATGAAGAAAGAAATGTAACAAAGACGCATTGGATTTTCCGTAAATTAAATTTACATTAAAATAAATACACGTTGTATCTTTTCATCTTGTCATCCATGATAAATACTTAGTTGACAAAACCCAACGTGCTCTCAACACCCTGGTGTAGGTAAATTATTGTCTCCAAGCGCAACGCATGTGATATGTTTCATTTTAAATGAAGTTAAGTGGCGTCCACGAAGTCGTGTACACACCAAAAAGTGTTTAGCAAAATTAAAAGTTAATAAGAGTTTCGGTGTGTTTGTTTGGGGGTCAGCAACACGTAATGGTATGCGCTGCCAACCGCTGGTTCAGCTTTTCACACTTTGTTGCGCAGTTTTTGTTTTTTAGTTGGGTAATTTAGAGCAAAGAGGGCTGAATATTAAGGGGGAGGTCCTGTAAAAAATTATGTTAAGAGTTTTGCGGTTCATGTAATGGTGTTAGACATAAAACTCACAATTTCTACCTTAGTCTAGATGGATTTGTTTAAACTTTTTGTTATGGATATGATACCATTTGGAAAATGAATTATTATTTGTATACTAAAACAAAAGAAAAAGTAATGTTAAAATGGGAAAGTTTATATTTTCGTCATACTGCAGCAAAAACAGCTGTTTTTAATGCACGCGTTTCGTGTCTAAAGTGGCATTTTTACTTCTAGGGAGTAAAAATCGGCTGATGTAAACAGTTGTAAATTTTGGTTATGGAAATCGTATTGATTGAAATTATTAAATTTATCGATGTCGATCGCTCGACATATCGGTGGCAAAATCTACTATAACACAATCGTAATAGACGAAATGAATGAATCATTTACTGAACAGGTGCTTGTTCTTCTGGTTTTGTATTTACGGACAGAGCCTCTAGTTAAATTTACTGTTACTGATTTTGTGGGAAATATAATGGTTTTAATATTATATACACTGTAAATGGATATATATAAACCGTCAGGTTTACATTTTTATTTTATTTAAATTTTAGATTGTTGAGTGTCTTGAATGAAAGGGATTATTTTAACTAGTTGTAATAAAGATTTCCGTTTATGTCCCTTGTTTGTATGCTGGTGTGTTAAACTGCAAATTAAGATCATCACCAAAACAAGTTCGAAACACTAGTTCAGATTTGCATTTAAATTAAAATCAATTTACTTGGTGTTATTTTACCAATTAGAGCTAACAAGCATTGGCGTAATTGTATGATCAGCTTATTTAAATATGAATAATTTAAAACTAATTGCTCTTTGATAATCCCAGATTGAAAGACCAGATTTAGTTTAATGCAGTATAATTTGGTTAGGCCAACAGGATCTATGAATACCCTTAGGAAATGAGTTTCGGCTTATGTTAAAACAGTCACGTATTTTATGGCATTAGGCAACTTAAGGGTTATTATTTTAAACCTCAACTAATTATAGTAAATAGTCTTACAATCAATCATGCAACAATTTCGCGTTCAGGGTTTAGTTTAGTTCGGATAAGGAGGAAACATTAATTTTAACGTAGGGTCCATGGATATACAATAGATTATAAAAGTGTATACCTAGCGTTGTTTGTGTAAAAAACCCATTAGATAGCTTTCTTAATCACACTAGCCTACCGTATAGGCATACACAAAACATTCAAATAAAGATGAACAGAGTAAAGTCGCCGGAGTTACTTTATTGTAAGGATTTCAAGAGAAATCAACTTGTTGGCTTATATTATTTGTAGAAATTACCTAGCAAAAAGAAATTGTTTTTATGGATTTTCGTTAAACATTACCAAGTACTTGCTGGATACACTTAGACCAGTTACGAATACAACGAATCAAAGCAGACTTAACCTGGTAAATCGTTCAGTTATTCAAAAAAGCTGAACGGTATGTAAAAACGCCAAGGTTTATTCGATTACAAAGACCGCTGAAAAACAAGATGGCAGCGTGTCGGCAGCCAATCACGGCGCGGTTGTCCGTCTTGTATACATTAGTATTCGCCGCGGGTCGCTCCTCACAATTATTTATCTCTGTCAATCGTAACCCGCGATTGTTATTCGAGTAAATGGACGGCGGAACGGCCAACTCAAAGCGGCGGAATTCAGAAACCGGACTGGAGGATTCACCGGTCGACACCTGTCACAGGGTAATTGACAGCGGGAAAGTCTCGATAATCGCGGGAGCTTGCGAGATTTGACGAGAGCCGGCTTCAGAACTACTACCCGCCTGTCACTGTAACTATGTGAGGTGACTGAATTTGGAGGGAATACAGCTACCAGATTACGTTCCAGTAGATAGCTGTGTGAAGTGACTAGATATGGCGGGAACACAGCTACCAGATCACGCTTCAACTGTGTCGATAACTATGTGAGGTGGCTGAATTTGGAGGGAATACAGCTACCAGATTACGTTCCAGTAGATAGCTGTGTGAAGTGACTAGATATGGCGGGAACACATCTACCAGATCACGCTTCAACTGTGTCGATAACTATGTGAGGTGGCTGAATTTGGAGGGAA